GGCGGAGGTGGACGGCCCTGGAGGAGATATGAAGGTGGAGGTGGACAGCTCAGGAGCAGATATGAAAGTGGAGGTGGACGGCTCAGGAGCAGATATGAAGGTGGAGGTGGACGGCTCAGGAGCAGATATGAAGGTGGAGGTGGACGGCTCAGGAGCAGATATGAAGGTGGAGGTGGACGGCCCAGGAGCAGATATGAAGGCAGCAGTGGACGGCTCAAGAGCAGATATGAAGGTGGAGGTGGACGGCCCTGCAGGAGATATGAAGGTGGAGGTGGACGGCCCTGGAGGAGATATGAAGGTGGAGGTGGACAGCTCAGGAGCAGATATGAAAGTGGAGGTGGACGGCTCAGGAGCAGATATGAAGGTGGAGGTGGACGGCTCAGGAGCAGTTGTGACGGTGGAGGTGGACGGCTCAGGAGCAGATGTGAAGGGGGAGGTGGACGGCTCAGGAGCAGATAAGAAGCTGGAGGTGGATGGCCCAGGAGCAGATATGAAGGTGGAGGTTGACGGCCCAGGAGCAGATGTGATGGTGGCAGTGGACGGCTCAGGAGGAGATATGAAGGTGGCGGTGGACGGCCCAGGAGCAGTAATGAAGGTGGAGGTGGACGGCCCAGGAGGAGATATGAAGGCGGCAGTGGACAGCTCAGGAGCAGATATGAAGGTGGAGGTGGACGGAACAGGAGGAGATATTAAGATGGAGGTGGACGGCTCAGGAGGAGATATGAAGGTGGAGGTGGACGGCTCAGGAGGAGATATGAAGGTGGAGGTGGGTGGCCCAGGAGGAGATATGAAGGCAGCAGTGGATGGCCCAGGAGGAGATATGAAGGTGGAGGTGGACGGCATCTTTACTGAAGATATCTGGGTTGAATGGCCAGATCCCAGTACTCCTAAACCCCTTCTTGACATTTTGTGGTGATGCTCCCATCAGCAAGATGTTGTTGAGCAATTGTGGCAGGTCATAGATAGTGAGTGTTTCTCCTGGATTCTCCAGTGCCACTTGTCCATCTCACAGCTGAAGTGTTTTTTTAAGTGGCCCATACACAGTCTTGTCCAGTGGTTGCAGCTGGTGTGAGCAGTGTGGTGGAAATGATAACATAACCACACCATTTGCCCGACAGAAGTTTATGGGTTCTATTGACTCATGGGAGGAGTGGTTGTCCAACAGGAGCAGGACTTTGTTTTCTTCTGTGGCCAGGGTGTGTCGGACAAAATGCTGGAGAAAGACAACAAAGTCCTGCTCCTGCATCCATCCGCTGCCATTCGCTGTACCAATTAAACTCTCAGAGCCACCACGGATAAAATGTGGCAAGAACTTCTTTCGGATAAAGACAAAATGGGAAGGGATAATGTTGCCAAGAGCATTGCCTGCCAGTGCCATGGTGATAAGGGCTCCCCTCTCAGCTGATGTCACACTACCGACTTCGTTCTCCCTTTGTGGAAACAAGAAGGCCAGGTTTTTGGACAGTTGTGAGACCGGTCTCGTCGACATTCCAAATATCTTTGGCTTCAAAGCCATACCTTCTATAGACTGTGGTCAGATTGTTGAAGGTCTCCACGTTTTTTTTTCATTAAAACTAGTTGATCTGGTTAAACTTGTAGCTTGAGGCCTCCTAATGGAGAGATTTTGGTGCCTTCGCATGAAGTTGGTGAACCAGCTTTCTCCTGCCATGCCATTGTTTGCCCACTCCACTGGACAAGGTAATCCATGGAAACTAGCTAATTCCAAGGCCAAATTTGCGAACCTATGAAAATAAAAATAAAAATAAAAATAATAATAAATAACTCCAATGACTTATGTAGTTGTATAAGATGTTTAATTTTTTCATTTAATAATTTTATATTTAACTTCAAACTTAAAGGCTATTGAATTTATTTACATAAAATGTAAAATGTACAACATAACATCTGTTGTGTCTGTGATGCTGGCTTGGCTGATTTCTCCCTATTGGTGCTTTTTAGTGCATTCCTACCTCTTTTGGGGGTAGACCAAAGTATAAGCTTGCTGCTTTCCTGACACAGGATATCAGGCTGAGCTCCTGTTCAGAAGTAAAAACTGCATTGGAGCCCTTGTACCCTACTGAGGGCAACATGCTTGAGCCCTGCTCAGCTAACTCTTGCTTCCTTTTGACATATCGGGCCAGTGTAGCAACCGGAATGTGGAACTCCTCAGCTACGTTCCTAATTGACCTCCCCTCCTCTACTACTTTTGAGGCCTTCTTTAAGAGCTCTGCTGGCATTCCCCTATTCGTGGTCCTAATTCTGACGCGAGGCATCCTGTAACAGGAATAGCACAAACATAAAGCCCACTCACTGACTACATTGCAAACTCTAACACACACACACACACACACACACACACACAGAGGTTCTAACATTATAGGGACATTACATAAGCGTAGTGGTTTTTATACTGTACAGACAGTATATTTTATTCTATAACCCTACCCCTAAGCCTACCCATCACTTAAAACTGTCTTTGTTTTTACATTTTCAATCATTCTGTATGATGTATAAGCTTGTTTTCTCATGAGGACCTAAAAAATGTTCCCATAAGGTTAGAATTGAATGGCATTACTATACTTGTGGGGACATTTGGTAATGCCAAATAACAGTAAGTGTACTGGTAATACGAGTAACCTATTATCATAACACTGTACAACTAAACAGCATGTGATGCAATAGGACACCAATCCGGGTCCAGTTGATACACTGCGTCTCAACCGTAGCCCACTGACATACTCGCACGTTTCTCTAGATTATGCAAAGAGCTTGCATGGCACAATGTCATAAAATATGTCTATTTTTAGAGCACAGAGTAACGTTTGCAATGATATACATTAAGTTTAACAATCATAAAAGGATCATAAGCTAGTCATTGTGGAAGGGACATGGTGAAGTGAAAATCTTACCTTGTAAAAAAAACTTTTGCCGATATCTTCAGAGTGGAAAGACACACACCTTTCAAATCTCCCACGATCAAAGAGAACGCTAATACGCATGTGGGGAGCAAAAATCACGGTGCGAGGTTCCTGTGCACGCAGGTTATTTAAGGTGTTTCAACTGTACACATGTCTCAAATGTACTCAGTCTACCCTAGTGATTTTCCTATTTTCATGTATAATCTTAATGTGATTTCAATGGAAACTTCCTTTTCTGGCAAGTACGTATATTTCATGACATTTGTGTTGTGATTTCTTCCAGTAATCTGTAGCCTCGTGATCAGGTTCCTGTCAGATGTTGTTTCAGTGCGTGCTGCTTTATGAGGGTCTCGGCAGGGAAATGACGTGTGTTGTGGTGGGATATGAGTGAGTCTGAGTGCAGTTTTAATGGATCTGGTATTTTAAGAAATCTTTTACATTCAACAGGATCAATGCGAACCATTTTTGACTCAGGGTGGGTTGTGTACGTATAGCTGCCTGGGGAAATGATAGCTCATTATCCACGTTCTGAGGATGTACTAATTGTGTCATTTCACTCTGCTTACGGGTAATTGAAGAAACTATTTCATGCATTCTGATAACAAATGTAAACTCCATCCTGGAAATAAATGAAGGATGATTCCTAAAGCAACTTAATGGAAAATACTCATAACTAAGCGCATGCTGCTTTATCTCTTGCACTCTTTACATGCATAGCTACATAACTATAGCAGTGTAATAAAACGACACACACATACTTTAACTTATCCAGACACACCTATCAAACGTCCAATGTAATTCTATCAAATGTAATTCTATTTTCTTTTTTTCCTTCTCTTTTTTTTAATCTCCGTAAATCTTTTTAGAAAAGTCATGGGAATGCTAACAGACTGTTTGTTTAAGGTAGGCTATTTTAGACTTCCTTGAATAAGCGCCATCTGTGGAACAGAAGTCATCCAGCCTTTCAGATTGATGAACCAGCACTTTAAAAAAAAAAACATTACTTATTAAATGTTACAAGAGCTCAAGATCCACCCATGATCTGACATGCTGGATGGTGTCTGCCAGAAAGCTTTTTTTTTTTTTTTTTTTTTTAATGTGATCAATCTAGTGCACAAACTGTCAGGGTCTGGCGTCTGGTGTTCTCCCTCTCACCACCAGAGGTCGCCATCTCCCATCCTCCCGGACTCCTTTTCCGTTACCTTGACTCCACACACCTGTGCACACACTCACTCACACACAGCTGTGGCCCATCCTGAGGGCTATTTATGCGCCTTCCCCACGCCACTCTAGGCGGATTATTAATTGTTGTTACCTGGACTGATGCAAGCACTAAGTTGCCGATTTTGTGTCATATCCCTGTTTGTGTTCTGAGACTGTTTTCAGATTCTTAGATCTGTTTGTTTTTTTGTTTTACCTTTGTTTTCCCCGCTGTGAATAAAACCTGCACTTGGACCCAGACCCTTGTTTACACGGTGTGTTTTCCTGACCGCGCCGTGACAGAATAATCCGCCAAGCATGGGTCCAGCAGGAAAGTTCCTCAATGTCCGCCAGGGAGACCGGTGCATTGAGGATTACGCCAGGGACTTCGTGGGAGTGGCTCGCCAGTCGGCGACGGAGAGGACCTGCTCAATGGTCTGTTTCTGGGGTGGCCTAACCGAGACCTTCAAATCTCTTATGCCATTCTGGCACCCCGAGGAGGCGCTGGAGTACTACGTCAACCTGGCTCTGCAGTTGAGCGGCTCAACCGTCAGGATGGAGTTGGCTGCAGAGCCTGCTCACAGTTCTCCCAAGGCGGCTATCCCAGGGTCATCAGAGGCCTCGTTGGCGGCACCCAGTACCTCACGCCCGTTCCTGGTGCATCGCGGGCTGGTATGCAGCGTGCGGGAGCCTCCGCTGATGTCGGTACGAGCGGCGTGGTCTGCTCGCAGTTTCCCCGAGGCAGCGGTGTCCGCTCACAAAGCTCCGGAAGCAGCGGTGGCCGCTCTCAGTTTCCCCGAGGCGGCGGTGCCCGCTCACGATGTTCCCGAAGCGGCGGTGCCCGCTCACGATGTTCCCGAAGCGGCGGTGCCCGCTCACGATGTTCCCGAAGCGGCGGTGCCCGCTCACGATGTTCCCGAAGCGGCGGTGCCCGCTCACGATGTTCCCGA